ATGGGCAGCTTATGCTTACTCCACTATCAATAGGCCCAGGCGGCACTATCCAAACTTTCAACCCATGCGTCACTACAAAAAATATGAGAATAGGCAACACATAATATTGCAACAAAATGACAAATGTTGTCTTTTGTAGGAAAAGGCAACAATACTTGTTTGTTACCTTGATCTTGAACAATCTATACCACAATACATTGTAAAAGTTTAAAAAGTGTTGCTTTAGTGTATGTAAGACAACAGTATTATAAAATGTAGCCTTTTTTTAACATAAGGCAACATTTATTTCACATGTTGTCCAAAAAGATAACAACAATAAAATTGTTATCTATGCAACAAGTTTAGAAACGTTTTTTCAAGGTATGTAAGGCAACGATTGTTATATGTGTTTTTATTGCTTTATGGAAGCCAATAGTTGTAACACTTTTACTTACTCCCTCCGTATTTTATTACTTGCTCATTTCTCCATGCGCGGAGTTTTGGAAGAAATTAGTAAAATATTGTGTAAGGTTTTCAAAAAAGAAATGAGCAAGTAATAAAATACAGCCACAAAAGAAAAGTAAAGCAAGTATTAAAATATAGAGAGAATATAGTTTTGTTAACTTAACGACACAAATATGTAACAAAATCATATCATTCTTTAATGAAGTAATATGTAAGCTGTAAACCTGTATTCATAATATTATTACTACATACGGGTATTCAGATCAAGAATCATGTATATCTTTTTTACAATTTTGTTATAATATTTTATTTTAGTATAATATTGATGTTGTTAAAAAAAAATCAAGACATTTAATTTAGAAAGAGAATTCAAGATACAGTATACTACGTATGTAATAATAACTATAGTATGTCGATGAAACTAAGAAATAATTATACTCATTTATACATAGGTAAAAGTACAAAATCTTCATGTACTGCATGTTAAGAACTGCATGTTCCTGACAAAACTCATAACAAAGAAGTTCATCCAGTATACTAATTACCAAACATCTAAACAAAATTATATTGTTTTGGAACACATCATAACATATTGACATACTAATAAAAATGTAAGTCAAAGAGTGAGAAACCCATATCCTCGTCCTCACTTCCCTTCTCTAGCTTCTTTTCTTCCTTTGGTGTCTCAGCGAGAGCTACCCCACCTCGTTAACTAACCTCGTGTAGCTAGGGGTGTACACCGGTCCTAAACCGGACTGGACCTGGACCGATTCTGTTGGGACCGGGACCTGAATCAGGGGATTTTGAGGACTGGAGACCGGACCTGATTCAACAGGTCCGGTTCCGGATCAAACCTCAGGTCCAGTCCGGGTTTGGACCTGAACAGACCTGTTTTGTATTTTTTTCGTTTTTTTAATACATAACCTATTGGACCTGCATATGGACCTGTTTTGTGATTTTTAGACCTGTAACATAATTTAATAAATACATAAAATCTCAAATTATCAATCACAAAACTACATAAATTTTATAAAGTCCCAATTCTCAAACACCAAAAATACAAACCTGGTAAAATTAACAAATAACTCATAAAATTACATAAAGTCTCTAAGTGTCAAATACTAGAAATACATAATTCTCCAAAGATAGCAACACCAAACCACACCATTACTGTACATCACCCAAAACAACAGCCCAACCAGTGCAGAGCAGGCACCAGAAGGTCCTTGAAGAACAGCAGTCAGACCAAACACAAACAGCATCATAAAATCTGAACCATAGCAAAATAGTCCCAAGGTCACAGAAACACAAACTGCACCAGAGCAAAGCACAGTAGCCACCACATCAGAACCAAGCTCAGGAACGCAGAACAGCTACACAACAGGCCAGCAGAAAGACAGACCATAGCAAATCAGAAGGGACAGAAAAAACAGAAGCATCAGAAGATGTACCAGAGTTATCCAGAGCTGTTAAAGGCTATTAACAACGTATGAGATCTATTGGCAGAAACTACTACAAGCCAAAAAGTATCAATAGGGACCAGATTGCACAAACACTAGTTTTGAGAAACACTTGCTTAGAAAGAAAAGCTGGTGGTTACTAGCCTGTACAGGATGATTTTGTATTGTTTCAATGACATGCTTCGAATGTCCCCACTCCACTTGACAGAATCTTCTTGTACCTGTAATTGCTCCTGATAAGCAGCAAACCAAAATCAAACAAAAAAAAAAATTAAAAAAAAGAAAAACCAAAAGAATTTTAAAGCCTTATAACCTAAAAAAATTCCAGATCATAGAAAAAGGAGGAGAATTAAAATCCTCTTGCTTCTATTAACGAAGTCTCGTCATCTTGCTGCAAACCAAAATACAAAAAAAAAAAAAAATGTTTAGGCAATAGCTTACAAGTCTATGAGGAAAATACCTTACAAGATAGTTATTAATAAGCATCCATTATCTCTTATAATAATTAAAATACCTTACAAGTTTATTATTAATAATCATCCATTATCTCTTATAAACTCATTTGTGTCTTTTTTTTTTATTATTTTTTTATTTTTTTTTACCAATAATAGTTATCTGAAACCGATGTAAATTCAGAGAAATTGAATGAGATCAAATACCTTACAAGTTTATGAGCTTCATCAAATTGGTTCCAGAAAATTCGCCACCATCTCTAACTTCTGATAATGGGCATTCAGAGTCTCAACTTGCTGTTTCGAGAGTTTCTCCTCCTCCTCTAGCTGCTTCTGCTACACAGAAAGTAACAACACCCTAAATATGAGTATTTACCAGCAGTAACCTTAGGGGCATGGAGTAGTAGGTAATGGGGATGCTATCTTAGGCAAAGAGAATTTACCAGCAGTAGAATTCTCAGAACTTCTTGACAGCAATGGTGCAGAATGTCCAACATTGCTTGTAGGTCTGCCAGAACCATATATAACAATGCAATCTAATATATCAACTGCATGCTTAAGCTATATGTATACTCCTTTCTCTGACACAAATATTAGTCTGTTAGAATATCAGAGGATACATTTGCAATTCTTGCAAACAGTATGGAATAAAAAAACTAATGTTTGTAATAGTTTTTATGATTGTACAAACCTTGAAGCACCAAATTCATCTTACTCGAATTTTTTGAAGGTAGTTTAAGAATTTAACCAATGAAAATAATTTGCTGAAGGTGTTTGTTGAATCTTTACCTAAGCAACTTTTAGCTCGGCCAATCTCAAACAATCAAGATCCTCTGAGAATAGTACGCCACTAGGAAAAAGAAGGCGTCTAAGAGAAATCAAGAAGCGTGCCTGTGTATTGTATGAGAGAAAATTGATCAGAAGATGCCTAATGACTTGCTCTGAACAAATATGAGTTACTCCATAACAAACTTGAGAAAGGAAAGGTACCCATTGAAATCCAACAAGGACACTCCAACAGCCTAATAATCTTAATCCTTGTCTTCTTACGAGCTGTCAGATTATGAACAAAGGCAGGGATATGCATCAATTTCACCCGAGGAGAAGAGGATAACAAATTTTATGATTGTAAGATATTTGTAAGACTAAGGAAGATCATCAGAATACCAGTAATACAATTGTGCCTAAAGCAAAACATCCACTCATTGATGTACTAATGAATTTGAGATCCCTGCCAGCCACATGATAAAAAGTGAAACCTCTCAAGTTCTTAATTTGTTACTTGATCATCATATCAATAGCTACAAAAATTAAACACAAAGCGACAATGAAGCAGCATGTGTCAAACAGATCAGCAGAGTTGGGTTTGGGTCTATCATCGTAGATTTCTGGATTTGAAGTGTTTATACGCATCATAATTTATCGGGCTTTTGAAATGATATTCACATTTGGTCTTTTTTTCTCAGTCAGGTTTAGGTCTGTGAAGCTCAATTTGCGGAAAAGAATTTTAGGCTAACTTTTCAAAGACTTTCATATATCAAGATTACAAATTTACAAGTTAGATTTAGTTAGATTTAACCCGGTTGGGTCAACAACTGATAGGATGCCAGCCAACAAATTGACTGTGATACTTTTAAATATAGCTCCACAAGTGGAAAACTATATTTATCGCAATGAAATAGACAATATTGAATGAAACAAGGAAGTAAGTTAGATTTTACCAGCAATGTACCCTCATAGGGGAGTATACCAGGTGTCACACTCAAAGCAAGGAAGAAGTTCGGTGAAGCTGCACTCAATAGACCAGCTGCACATGTAAAAGATTAGAGTCTTATGGGAAAAGGTATAAAACCAATGTGTAATGTTTACGAGGACCAGGACATACCACATAACAGCAAAACAACAACACAAACAAGACAATTAAAAGCAACAGCAAGACCTCCTCTAAACAAACAAAAACCTTCCTGAAGACAACCTGCAATCCAGCAACAAAGAACCACAGCAGTGAGAACAACAGCTCCCAGCAGACCAGAGAAGCCAGACCTGCAGCCCACTAGCAGCTCCCAGCAATACAGGAAAGCAAGAGAAACCAGACTTGCAGCAGAACAAGACATAAATAACAGCCCCAGCTACAAGCACTGCCAGCCAAACGAACAAAGAAACAAGGACCTACAGCAGAACAGGACAGAAATAGCAGCAGCAAACAGCCAAACAGCTGAGCAGGAAAGCAGCTACAAGCATAGCCAGCCAAACCAACAAAGAAACGAGGACCTGCACAGCTCAACAGAATCAGCCTCACAGCAGACAATAGCATAACAGAAACAAACCACTCCCAAGCAAACACAGCAGGCAGCAAAAACAGGAGAACATGAACTAGCTAGGAATGCTCGCTCTAAGCTGAAATAGCCACTGCCTGCTGCCTGCTGCTAGAGCTGGCAGATGCCTGCAGCTTTTCAGGCTGGTGGCTACATTCTATTAATGAGATTATCAAATGATCCCACAAAAAAAAGAAAAAAAAAATTGATCATTAAAACAAATAATTTTGCAGTCAAATAAAACCAAAACTGTTTAAGCTAAAATCCCTAGGCTTTTATTACTTCAAATTTACTAAAAACAGAATACTAGAAAGGACCAATCATATTTCCTAAGCTTCATCTTCACTTTCTTGCATGAAATCCCATAGAGTATTATCCTTGATTTCATCATCCGAATCATCAATTTCCGGCGCTGCTTGCATTTCTAACAGGTATTCTGGAACGTCAACAGTAGTGGCAGGCAAGTCCTCTCTCAACCAACTAACATCATTGTCATCAGCAACAGTTGCCCCTGGGCAAACACCATCACTAGCAGATTCATTCCAATAAGAAACTCCAACATCACCATTTGATTCTTCACTCATATCAAAGAAGTCTCCGGGGATAGTTTCCATAACGTAATGCAAATGCTTTTCTTTGGAATCTTGCACATAAAAAACTTGGTTTACTTGATTAGCCATCACAAAAGGGTCATTAGTATAGCATAACCTTTTAAAATTAGCACATGTTAGCCCAAACTCATCTTGCTCCACTTGAAACCAGTTACAGCGAAACAATACCACTTTGAAATGCCCAAAATAATCCAACTCAATGATATCCTCCACCACTCCATAATATTTGACATCCCCAACAACAGGATTTTGATCGGAACTTGCAAAACTCGACATTGAAGATGTTACACTAACTCCACTACATTGAGTTTTCCTTTTTGACTCATGTGCTGTTGTATGAAATTTGTTACCATTTATTAGGTACCCTTTAAAACTTCTCACAGTATAGTCAAGACCTTGGGATAAAGCCTTTATTTCTTTGGAAACATTTTCTTCCCGTACATGGTCCTTGAACCATGCTCCAATATCATGACTGTGTTCTTGTGCTCTCGCCCACCTACTCCGCTTACCCCGTCTACCTTGACTTCTTTGACGATTCACTAAATCTTGATGTTCACTACATACATATCACAAAGCAACTTAGTTGTATAAGTCAATTATAAATAATAAAGATTAAATATAGTTAATATGAAATAATACCAATTTAAATTTACTTACTGACCTTATGTAAACACTTATTTCATCACAATTAAAGAGTACATAGCGATGAGCTTTCATCAAAGTGTCTTCATCTAAAGAAACCTTTTTGCCTTTATTTTTCTTTCTTACACCTAAAGGACGTCCAACATTAGGAAAAAGGCTTCCATCTTCATTGGACGCAGTATCATCATCATCATTTCTAGGTGCTCGATTCAACTTTGAATTAAATTCATCGTGAAGATATCGAGAACAAAAAATAAGGCATTCTTCTTCCAAGTAGGCCTCTGCAATGGAACCTTCGGGTCGACTTCTATTTTTTACATACGACTTCAATTTACCCAAATACTGCTCTTTCGGATACATCCAACGACTTTGAACAGGACCCCCAAGCCTTACCTCCTCTACAAGATGAAGTGGAAGGTGGACCATTATGTCTAAGAAACTAGGGGGGAATATCTTCTCAAGTTGGCAAAGTATCTCTATGATTTCAGATTCAAGATCGTCAAGATCTTTAGGCTTTAGAAATTTCCTACATAGACCCCTAAAAAAGGATCCTAGCCTAATCAAAGTCGATGCTACTTGTTTAGGCAAGGTATTCTTTACAGCAACTTGGAGCAAATAATGAAGCATAAAGTGGGCATCATGGCTCTTGTAACCAAAAACTTTCCTCTCATTGGATTGGACACATCTGGAAATGTTTGATGCACAACCATCGGAAAACTTAGCACCTTTTATCATACTGCAGAACAAGTCTTTTTCACTAGAAGATAAAGAAAAACAGGCTTTGGAGTATAAACGCTTCCCTCTATTATTTGTTCTCTTTGGATGGAGTTCATTTCTTATACCCATATCTTGTAAATCAAAGCGGGCTGCTACATGGTCCTTGGTCTTTCCTGGGATATCAAGCAAAGTACCGAGCACACTGTCACAAATATTTTTCTCAATGTGCATAACATCAAGATTATGACGCAAGGTATTAGTTTCCCAATAAGGAAGCTCAAAGAAAATTGATTTCTTCTTCCACGAAAATTTCTTTCTACCCTTCTTTTGAGTTTTCCCAAATTTATTTTCAAACCCTTCTAAATCTTTTAATACCTCAGAACCTGAGAATCTAGCAGGAGGAGGAGGCCTTGTCTCTACATTACCATCAAAAGCTCTCTTATTACGACGCCATGGATGATTTTCTTTCAAAGAGATACGATGTCCCATGTAACACATTTTCTTGCTATACTTTAGGTATTTGGACCAAGTCTTATGATTGCAATTCGGGCAGGCAAATTCTCCTTTGGTGCTCCATCCGGACAACATTGCATAAGCAGGGAAGTCACTGATTGTCCATAACAAGGCTGTCTTTAAAGAAAATGTTTCATCTTTCACAGCATCATATGTCTCAATTCCAACTTCCCATAACTCCTTCAATTCCTCGATTAATGGTTGCAAGTAAACATCAATGTCATAACCCGGAGAAGAAGGACTAGGTATAATAAAAGACATGATATTGTACCCGGACTTATTAAATAACCAAAGAGGCAAATTATAAATGGATAAAACAACAGGCCAAATACTATATGACACACTCATAGTTCTGAATGGGTTGAAACCATCAGTAGTAAGAACCAACCTCACATTTTGAAAATCATTTGCAAATTGAGGATGTGCAACATCGAAATCTTTCCAAGTTTGTCCATCGGCAGGATGCCTTAATTTGTCATCTTTCCTGCGATCAGTTTCATGCCATATCATGAGTCCAGCCGTCTTAGAGCACATGAACAACCTTTGTAGACGAGGTTTAAGAGGAAAGTAACGTAAAACTTTTGCAGGAACTCCTTCGTCGGGCAATGCACCTTCCTCTTTTTGCTTCTCATTTAACTTCCACCTAGAAGCTTTACAAACATGGCAAGACTTGTCATTTGCACGTTCTTTCCAATACAACATACAATCATTAGGACACGCATCAATTCGTTTGTAATTAAGTCCAAGGTCCTTCACCATTTTTTTTGGCATGATGAAAAGAAGTGGGAAACTTTGCAAATGGAAAGGCAGCACATTGAAGCTTCATCAACCCGTCGAAAGAAGAATTGCTCCACCCGTTAAGGCATTTAAGTAGATAGAGTTGCTCTGTGTATGAAAACACAGAAAAATCCTTACAGCCTGGATATAATGCCTCTCGTGCATCCTCTAACAATATATAAAACTTTTTAGCACTCTCATCAGGACCCTTTCGAAGTTCTGCTTCAAAGCTTGAACCTCCTATAACATCTCTGAAAATATCATTAATCATCTCATCCATATTGTCTAATGTGTTTTGATTATCACACTGATGCCCATCTCCCTTTGAAGAAGACCCTGTTGCCAATCCTTCGCCATGAAAGTTCCACACTTTATACCTCTTATTAAATCTGTTAGCAATTAGGTGATTGAAAACCTCCTCCCTTGGGAACCAAAATCTATTAACACACATCATACATGGGAATAAAATTTCCGGTTCATCATCTTCCTCTATGTCCATGGTTGAATTTTGAAATGCAAAATCTAGAAAATTCTCAACTCCTTTGATATATTCTTCAGCACTGTGGGGTGCATCAATCCAATCTTTGTTGATGTTTTCCATTATAATACTCTATAACATAAGATGTTATATGGAGGATCAACAACAAGGGTAATAAACTAAGAGACAAATATTGACATGAATTCTTGGACTGGCTAAAACAAAATAAGAAGACAAACTTTCTGCAATAAAAATGCATATTCAATTTTTATTAACAACAAAAATTCATATAGTATTGGGGACAAAGCAAGGGTTACTGAAGAAAAAAGAAAAAAATTATTAACTTTAAAAATTAGATAAATTAAAGGTCACAAATCTCACAATACGACAATTAAGTCATACCCTAAAAGGAGATTGATAAAGTACTGGCACGATTCAACATGGAGAATGCCAAAAGAGGGCACCTACCCATGTCCCATGGCGTGACTCTCAGCAAGAAACAGTGTCCACAGACACCTGTTGAGTGAGAGAGAATGGATCAGATTCCATATGCTTCGCTAATTGGGTCGATCATGTATGCCATGATATGTACCAGGCCAGATGTATCGTATGCTTTAAGCGCTACGAGCCGATACCAATCAAACCTAGGAGAGGCGTATTAGACTGTGGCCAAGAATATCCTGAAGTACCTGAAAAGGAACAAGGATAAATTCCTGGTCTATGGTGGCTACAAAAACCTGGTTGTTGAAGGTTACACCGACGCTAGCTTCCAAACTGACAGAGACGACTTCAAGTCACAGTTCAAGTCACATTCAGGGTATATATTTTGCCTAAATGGAGGAGCGTTTAGTTTGAAGAGTGCCAAGCAAAGCACCACTGCAGATTCTACAATTGAAGCCGAATACTTGGCAGCTTTAGAAGCGGCTAAGGAGGCTGTTTGGATTCGCAAGTTCGTTAGTGAAATTGGTGTTGTATACTCCATCAAGGGTCCGATAGATCTCTACTGTGACAACAATGGAGCTATCGCTCAGGCTAGAGAGCCAAGAGAGCACCAGGAAGTCAAACATGTCCAAAGGCGATTTCACATGATAAGGGAATGGAAATCCAAAGGTGAAATCAGAATTTGCAAGATTGGAACGGATGATAATGTGGCCGATCCTTTGACTAAACCTCTGCCTCAAGTGAAACACAACAAGCACATTGAGGCAATGGGAATCAAGCACGTTGGAGATTGGCTTTAAAATTCCCTGTACATGTGTTTTAATTAAACTGGTCGTTTTAATGTAAGACACTGTATTGAAACCATTCATTTATGGAGTAATGAATTTTATATTTTATATTCACTCCATTGCTATTTAATTGTGGTTTAGAATTAAATAATGAATCCATTCGATTTATGTAAATATTCAAAACAAGGTATCAAGACCATGTCTTGGATAAAGAAACACCTGTTAAGTGAACATTGAATATTTAAATCGAAAATTATCCCTAATCAAGGTCATCTAATTGATGGACGATTGATGACCACCAGAGATTAGTGTGTAGTATGATTTACAGAACCGTTTCTTGTGCTGCAAGGACGTAATGGTCATAAATCATTTGCACAAGTGCTAGTTTAGAACTGCACTCGATAGACCTATGAGAGTACTTTAAGAGATTCAAAATTTTCTTAAGAACATTTCTCATTATAGCTATCGGAACCTGTTTCCTCAACCATGAGTATTGTGAAGTTTTCTTGTTTGAGTACTAGTCTCTTTGATGTTGCCTAACGTCTGCCGTAACTAGGGATCATAACGGAAACACTCGGGAGATTAGGTCCTCTTAAAAAGAGAAACTTACAGTACAAGACTGGGAATGTCCCCCTATTAACAATAGGGAACATGTCTTTGTTGTTTATAAGGCTGCTCGAAGAGTGAGACTGTGAAAATGCATGGCCGTGCTCAGATGAATTTTAGAAATCATCTGGTTATTGACAGTCAAACTCGGAGATCGAGAAACACTTCTGAACGTAATAAGGATGACGATGAATTTTACCTTATAGTTCACAAAAAGACATTAAGCGACATAGGAAATGGGCTATACACTGTATGCACACTTGTCTGGAAGGACAAGTGGGAGATTGAAAGGAATGGTGTCCTTCCAACAAGTGTATTATTCTGATAGAGGGTTCAGAATTATTACAGAGCTAATTCTTGTAGGGTTTCGTAGTGACCCGACACTACGCGGAAGGAAACCCACCAAGACCCGCCCCTTAATTAATGCAATTAAACAAGCATAATAAACTTAATCAAACAAGATTAAGGACAAGAATTATACCTTTGACGCGTGCTTCGCTCCTAAAGAGCTCTTACTTCAAAATCCCGAAAAGACGAGATCTCCGACGGATCGTACCCTCGACCCGACCCGAGCGTCCTAAGTCTTGAAGGTTAGTCAAGACCCAGACAAAATAACTATGAGTTTTACGAATCAAAGGTTTACTCTTTTCTTAGAGTTGCCTTTTTAATTCTACTCAAGGTTGTTTCAAATCCCAATACCAAGCTTGGTATTTATAGGGAAATGATCCCTTGATTTTTCATCCTCCACCAATGTGGGAGAATGTATTTTGCTAATTAATTTATTTCTAAAATAAATTATTAAACAAAACTAATCACAATGCAACAACTGTCAAATAGAGAGAGAAGGTTAGGTGAGGACCATGAACCTTGGGGGGGACCATTGCCTTGATCCCCAAGGCATGCTCTAAGCCAATTGGTCCCCACTCCCTCAAACCGCCAAATACAAGGGGCATGCTAGGCTGCTGCCAGCTAGCATGGCGCTGGCCAGCCCAGCCAGCTAGCATGGTGCTGCCCAACAGCCTCGCATGCCTGGTGCTAGGCCATGCTAGGCGCTGGTGCTGGCCAGTGCTAGGCGCTGCTGCTGCTGGCAGCCTAACACTGCCTATCGCACCATGCACACTCTCTCTCGCATCACATCGCTAGCACAACCTACATGCGTGCTGCTAGCGAGCCACGCATGCTGGCCGCACTGACCCTCGCATCATGCGCACACGCCTCCTACCCACATGCACTGGCTGGTCGCATATGTGCAAGCCTTGCACCTCGCATCACGCACCAGCCATGCGCCATGCGCCATGCACCACGCACACGCACATGCATGCGTGGTGCTGCTGCTAGCACCCTAGCCAGCCATTGCATGTACACGCACCAGCCCACACGCATCAGTGCGCATGTGGTGCGAGGCTGCTTGTGCGAGGCCTAGCATCAAGCTGGCACGCAGCCTCTCGCATGTGCTGTGATGCTTGGTGCTGCCACGCGAAGGCTAGCACACAAGCATACGCACATGGTGCGCCACTGCCAGGCAGCCAACCGTGCCAGCACTTGGTGCTTGCGATGGTGCTGCCAAGCCAGGCACGCACGCACGCAGCACCAAGTGCTTGCCATGTTGCGCCTGGTGCGGCCATTGCCTGCGATAGGCGCCAGATGCACCCAGGCACAACGCTAGCATGCTTGCTAACTGCTATGGGCTTCCTGATTCCTATGTGGCTTGCGATAGCTGCCATGCGCACCCAGGCACCCATGCTAGCATGTTGCTAGCTTGCGATGGGCTGCCAGGGCGCGCCTACGCTGCGATGGTGCCTAGCACACCATGGTGCGCCTAGCACACACATGGTGCACCTAGGCATGCTATAAGCTAGCCTAGCCTAGCTACGGCTACACTCATACTTGTTGCTTGTGATCTTGCGACGCTCGGTATCGACGCCCTAGGCTCGATTTTCGACGTCTGTATTTGTAAAACTCTGTCAACTCATTAAATCCTTTCAGATTAATTCGACGTCTCGGATTGGAGATTCGATTGGGTTCGACCCGAAGGGTTCAGTTAAGATTAAGCTGTAATATCAATTGTACCTTGATATTACTGATCGGAAGCGGCCTCCACCTAGGCATTCCGATCACTTGACCTTACTGAAGAATTAGCTCTGTAATAATTCTGAACCCTTTATCAGAATAATACACTTGTTGGAAGGACACCATTCCTTTCAATCTCCCACTTGTCGTTCTAGACAAGTGTGCATATTGTGTATAGCTCATTTCCTTTGTCACTTAATGTTTCTTCGTGAACTAGGTAAGATTCTTTGTCATCCTTATTACGTTCAGAAGTGTTTCTTGATCTCCGAGTTCGAATGTCAATAAGTAGATGATTTCTAAAATCCATCTGAGCATGGCCATGCATTTTACAGTCTCACTCTTCGAGCGGCCTTTTAAACAACAAAACATTTTCCCTATTGTTAGTAGGGGGACAATCCCAGTCTTGTATTGTAAGTTCTTCTTACTAAGAGGACATAGACTCCCGAGTGTTCCCGTTATGATCCCCACTTACGGCAGACGTTTGGAAACATCAAAGAGCCTAGTATTCAAACAAGAAAACTTCACAATAGTCATGGTCTGAG